TTCGCACATAGGTTTCCGCGCTCTCGCCGCTACCCTGGAGTAACTATGTGCCGATTTTTGATTTTATAATGCTTCGAAGGTAGGTGAAGATCGAAAAAGTAGTTGCATATGATAAGCACGATGAGACAATGATGGGCATATCCAATAGGAAAGTCCATGGCGAAAAATTTGAGAGTCGAACAGATATCAGTGTGCTATGGCTGTAACCGATTGACCAAATCAGGCAGTAGTGAAGTGCAAGTAAGGATATAGCAGGTAGAGAGCAAAGCATAAAAAGAAATGCCAGTGATTGCATAAGAGTCTATGTGTGGCATAAGTAAATAGCTAAATCTGACTAACGGTGTCAGACAGAGCCCAGCTAACTTTCAGAACTTGCCAACCGTGCCTACATCAGTCCTTTCAGGTTTATTTTGATCAGCAGGTCTTTCTCTGGGTAAGTAGCAGCAGTGACAACAGCCAGTCTTTTGTTGTGAATCATGCTGATTATGATTTTACTTCTCATTTTAACCGATGCTGCTTGACATAAATACTGTTAACTATTTACTAAAGCTCTAGACTGAGCAAGTATGTGGCAAAATGAGATATAAAATCAAATCAACATAAAACGAACTGTTAGTAAAACGTAAATAAAATGATGTCATTTATCTCCTTTCAAATATGTTCAGTTCTTATAGTTGTAAAATATATAATACTCCTTGATAAATTTCTTATATTTTATTCTCAGACTTAATAATAATTATGTTAATTAAGTCATGTTTAATAATAATGCATCCTACTTATGGATATATTTTATTTTTAGGATGGTATTACAAAAGTGATGTTCAGGCATAGATAATATTTTTAATTAAATTTATTCAGTTCCCATTCGCTCATAGGTCCTTAATTTTTTTCATTATTGGTCCTTAAAAGTACTTAATTTCCGTGTGCTGATATGCGTATGAACCCTGTAAACATTTTAATTTCGTTTAAAATTTTGTAAAAAAGACCAATAAATAAAGACATTAAATTTGTAAAAAGACTAATTTAAGAATTTACTATGCTTTTATGATACAACATCTTGATTTGCCGTTTCATATCATGTGACTCCAAGTGATCCACGTAAACTACACTACAAAAATCTAATTCTCTCAGTAATTATCTACATTAATTTCAAGTTAAATTTTAATTTGGTATACAAGTTTAAATGCAAGACTTATTTCAATTGATACGAATAGCTTACTCAGAAACTGTGCAGAACCGCAGTTCTTTACTTCGCTAGTGCATTCTCATTAGAATTGATGAATTTATCCCTTGACCTTGCCTTTTTTATATTTTTGCCATCAGGTGAGCAGTGTGATTGCATCCTAATTGACTTGATTACCGACCACGAATGGTCTTAGGGCATAAAATTGAACTATCTGGTAAAAATTCTATGTAATTGTATGCCTGTATTGAAAGAAACAATCAATCTGATAAGAAATGGCTGTGACTTGTTTTGAAAATGAGGAATAAAAGGTTACCAGTGAGGATATTTCATTTGGCATCAGTTGTACCATACTGACGACTTTATCGCCTGCGCCGGCAAAACGCAAAAGTACCGAAATATTTTGTTTAAAATGTGTTAGTGATAATTTTCTTTTTTGCTGTGATGTAATTTTCCCAGCAGTGTTTTTTTCCTCCTTGGAAAAGTATTTTCTTCTTATGTTTCTCAGTGTAATTTTTAGTACAACTTTTAAGAAAGGAAAAAGATCTGGGCAGTCTAAATGTGAGGAAAGTCTTTACATGAAAAGTTTTGTGAAAACATCTTTCTAATGCTAAGAGAGGTACAGAGCTGCTATTCAGTTATGCCTTTTTTAAAATTAATTTTAACATATTCATGTGCGATGAGCTCTACATTAATCGGGTACTTTTTAGTTACTGGGATGCAATTCAGAAATATATATGTATGCATAAGCACATACAAACGTACATAGATCCATTCTTAATACAAACATACATTTCTAAACCCTACCCCTGATGACAGAAACATACCTATAATCATTTAAATTCTGTGTTCATCCATAAACAAAGCAGATTTAGAAATTGCGTTAATTTTAGCATGCCTATATAATTTTTGAAGACAAGTGACGGAGGACACGAGCACCACCCCTCTACCATAGCGGTTAATTGGTATAGCACCATGTCCCCCTTGTCTAAAGTACACCAAGAAGGTATGGGGAAGGGTTAAAGGCCACATGACCCCCTCACAAAAGTCGCCGATTTAAAATAAGGCAAAGGTTTCTACCATATGTAACAGTGTTATCTGTACAAAAGTTCTTCCATGAATTTACTCACTTCCAAAAGTTAAGCACGAAGATATAAAATGCAAAAAAATTAACAAATACTGCTTTACTTGACACAAAATTCGGCAGGAAAGTATATATGTTAGCAGAAGAGGAAAGTAACTAAAAATAAATTTGGTGTATATTTTTTTAAGCTGCAAGCAAGCTTTTAAAATGCACCAGTATATTTGCAAAATATATATTCAGACTAATTTTTAATACAAGAATTTAGTTAAAGGGATTTACATTTCAGATTCATGTTTATAAACACTAAAACGTAAGGGTTAATTATATGATTTTTAATTAAATTTTCGAATATATATGCGATCATGTAGTTTTTGCATAAGATGAAACCAATTTACTCTTTAGTCATGGTTGAAAAAATTCTGCTGTGCAGAAGACTAGAAAGAAAATTACACCTGGCTTGACCATTGAACAGCATTTTTATTTAGGAGAAAAATTCTTCAGAAATACATTTTTATTTAAAATAGAACTACACTAGGAATGTTAGCCCCCAGTTTCTGTATATGCAGTTTACATATTAGGTAAGGCAAAATGAGAGATGTGGTATGTTCAAGCAATGGCCGGTAAGAAAATTGTTACATAATGATTGTGGTTGTATTTATAGTCTGGAAAAATCCTGAGCAACAGTTGAGCTAATGATTTCGCAGTGCAGAGAAATTGCAAGGAAAGACTGGCATAATATGCTGCAGAGTGACATAAAATGGTGCAAAGTATATTTCTTAAGCAGGGATGTGTGTAAATAAAATTTAAGAATTTAAATGTCTGTTGCCAGTTGGTTTCAATTAAGTTTAATAATTTCATTTAATCATTTCATTCAATATATTTAAGCATTTTTATTGTAGGAAGAGGAGGAAATGCCACCTGAAGCGAAAATGAGGATGAGAAATATAGGAAGGTATAAAATGAGTTTAATTTTTAATTTATTTCCGTGTCCAATGCAATTTAATGTTTCAGTTGTGTTGAATTTTAGTAGTTTATAATTTGTAAGCTTTTACGACTAGGCCAGAATTAACAAACATTTTTTTTTAAAGCTTCTTTAAAGTTTTAAAATAATTTGCAGTAATAGGGAAACTAACAACAGCAAAAGAAACCTTTTCTGAGATTTCCTTTAAGCTCCTAAAACTGTAGTTGTAAATTTTTTCTCTTTTACAAGTATTTTTCCCCCAAAATTTTATTTGTTATTCAGGGAAATTGATGCTTCATCAATAGCCACAAAATATTTTTATTTCTATGGGTGTAAATGATTTTGATAAAAAGTTTTTAAGAGTTTACTGTTGTAGCGAAGGGGGTATTGAAATTTATATTATTCTGCGAGTTGGTGTCTTTTCTTTTGAGAAACTTTTGTATTAGGTATGAAAGTACATAATGTCTTTTGATATAAAAGTAATGCTTGAGAGTTTTTCAATTTACTATGAACAGTATTGCATATTTTACATACTGAAATTTTAATTATAAGAATTTTGTATTTTAAAAATATTGACAGTTTTGCTTTGAAAACATAATTACATAATTCTCTTGGAATATTGTAGAATTTTTGTTAAATTCATTTAAAAAATGTTTAAACTACTTCTGCACGTTATGTGATGTGGACTGCATAATTTTGCCCTTAGTTCTGTTTTAATTAAATTGCATCAAGGGCTGAAAAATGATTGTTTAGAAAAAAAAGGAATAAAGAATGTAGCTTTTATACATACCAGCATAAAAATGTATTAAAATAAATGCAGTGAAAGTTATTTCAGTGCAGATAGCATCATAAAATTTAACAAACTTCTCATAGCTCAATTTGTAACACAAGGGTCAAGGAAGAAGAAATAAAGGATATCAAACTATATTATTTTTACTTTTTCTGTACCAAAGAATGAAACAGTTATTGCATTATGTATATAAAAATACAATAACAGCAGCATTGAAAAGTATGGAGTTTTAAAGCATTTTGCATAAATTTTCATGCTTTGATGCATATTATTTCTTTAAAGCTGATTTTAATTTATAGGCAGAGTTAATGTTTTATTTTTTCAGCATTTTTTGAGTTACTGATAATTTCAAATGCAAATTACAAACTGAAATGTTTATTTTATGGCACAGAAAAAATATCTTAAATCATTAAATGTAATAAATAGAATTAGCTGACTCGAATATCTTTAAAGAAATTAATTTTTTTCTTTCATCATGACTATATAATATTTAAGCAAAAGTTAATTTAATAAGCATAAATTATATGTATGTGCCATTTTTGCAATTTATATAGGTATAGAATTTTTGTGCTTCAGATTTCCATACTATTTTTTTTTTTTTTTTTTTTTTTTTTTTTTTTTTTTAAAGCATTTCTTACTAGACTTTAATTTTGCATTTATTTGGGGTGGGAGAGCTATGTCAAAAGGTTTGTAGAATTGATTTAGATATAATGCTAGTCATTCCATTTTTATTATTTTCACAAGTTGAATGCAATTTCTTTATTAATTGCCTTATATATTTTTTCTTTGAAAATTTTACCTAAAACAGATTTGTAAATGATTGAAACATTTGTGGTTACTCAAAAATTTCATATCCTGATTGGAACTGACTGTCATCTTCATGCATCTTTGATGGGGTACTTTCTAGTTTATGTGGCTTTGTCAGAATACTCTCTGTCCATTTTATAAACAGTGATTTTATTGTATTTGAGGTTATTGGTAAAACTTTATTTTGAAAATTGTCTTTTCATTATGAGATATCACAATGCCTACTTTAAAGTACTAAATGCAATTAATTATATTTTTCTGTTTCTAATCTTGATATACTACTAAATATTATGCCAGTACTTTCACACTTATAATGTATTTGTGAAGTAAGGAATGACCCTCCCCCTCTTTTTTAAACCATCTAGAATTTCTCCAAGTTCAATGCACATTTCTTCCAAGTTTGTTTTTTAAGTGTTTGTTTTTAATCAATTTGTATGCTAATATTCATGATGGAAAGCAGTTATCAACTATCATATCATGTTCTTTAATTTTTATATGAGTTTTCGTCATAATTCTGGATCCCAAAATGCAAATGTAGCAGAGCTGTTTATAAACTGTGTGTTGTACTGTGTATGGAATTTTCTACTATAAGGACTTGGCATAATACATTTAACAGAGTTGCTGACTCTCCTGATTTAGGTGGGAAATCCCTTATTTCCAATTATACACTTGCCAACCTGATTTGCAACATTTTTCTTCCGACTTTCTCTTAAAATTTCTTACTATTTTTGTGTAGGTTCGCTTAATACTTCATTGTTTGCACCCAAAAAGTGATTTTTGATGTTTGAAATAGTTTTTATTTTTATTTTTTAAATGCATACTATAAAAGAAAACCGATGCCATTTCATCAGTGAGATATGGCATGCTTCTGCTTTGTGTGTGAGGGCTTGAAAACATCATGTTCCAAGTCTAGTGAGAATAAAGTTGTGGGTCTTCCGACATCAAGATTATTATTTTGTTCGTTTTGCCAGTGAGCAGCACAAGTTTCATGTGCTTCCCAGAAACAGTTTAAGAAACTGCAGTCTTTCGTCTTAGTAGTGTCTGTAAAAATGTAAAGTACTTATGTATTTTTCAAAAATCATGCAGACTTTTCTGGTATTATTTCATCAAGGAAATGTGATATATTTTCAATGTGTACCGTTTGTCATTGTGATTTTTAAATTTCACACTTTGGAAGGGCCAATGTTCTTAAACAATGCGTGTACAGAAGGGCAACATGGGTTCTATTGGATAAAGAATTAAATTTTTCTGTGGAAACAAAGGACAAAAATGTTATTAATGCAGAATGCTTGTTAACTGTGTGGAGCACAACCTGGCATTGAATGCATGCAGTAGCTTTATTTAGAAAAAAATGCTTCCTGGGAGTGAAATCGCTGAGAAATACTCAAAGTACAAAGGCAAAAATACAGTTGTAGAAGAAACAGGTTCAAGAAATTGACACAAAAAATTAATCTTCAGTTATTGATTGCATTAAAATAATCCATTCTGCTTCTCTACAGATGGATGCAGTAATACTTATGCAAAACCTTATCCAGTTAGTTTCTTTTTTAATCTGAAGTTTTCAGAAATTGAGTGTAGTTTACTTTCTGTTTCCACTTTAGAAAGAGATTCGACAGGCTTTAATGTATAGCATAGCTAATTATTGAAACTTTTAAAGAAAGGGCAATTCTTCAGGAGCATTTAGCATTTAGTGCTGACAATGTACCAGGAATGGTAGGCATGAAGACTGATGTTGCAGGCATCTTAAAAAAAAAAAAAAAAAAAAAAAAAAAAAAAAAATCAGATTTGGAAATTATGAGGTGAATCCATCTCCTCTTTTAAATTTAGCCATTGAGAAAAGGCCAGCTTCTTTACCAATAAGTACTGCTGATATTTATTATTATTTGAAAAGATTTCTAAAAGGAAGAAAAAAATAGAAACAATTCTGACAGCTGCATGATACTGAAATAAGGAAGAATCTTAAACATGTATGTGCATGCTGGTTATTTTTAGAGAAATATCTAGAATCCTTGACCAGTGAAATCCACTTCTTACATTTGAAACATATATGTACAAGCTGGTTATCTTTAAAGAAATATTTATCTAGAAGCCTCAACCAGTGGAATCCACATCTTATATTTTTTAAGGAAAAAGTAAATGCTTTTAGAATTAAATTAAAAGGCTTTAATAAAATTTAGAAAATATCTTGAGTAAATGGAGATGTAGTTAGTACTTCCACTACTAAAAATAGGTCTAAGAACAGTAATTTCTACACCTATGAGCAAGTTTATTGACAATTCTTAAAATAATGCAAAAAAATATAAGCATAAAGTTCTCAAATAATAATAATAATAATAATAATAATAATAATAAAAAAAAAAAAACACTTGACAAGGGACACATTATCTGATTATTATAAGTTTATCTTATGAAGAATGAATGTTTGTTTTTTATCTTAACAGAGCTTTTTGTACACTCCATTTTGCCATCTTTCGGTGTTCTTAACACAACCCAACAGTGCAGAATTTCATTAATTCACCTTTTTGCAATCAATGATTACCAATCTGGTTAAATATTATTTAATGATTAGAGTATTTTTCTGTGGTTCAAAGATACAAGTAATAAAACTTTTTTTAAAATTATTTATGTTAAAGAATTAGTAACTGAACTTTCAGATATTAATTAGTTAGTATTTAAAGTTAGTTCATTATTAAAAATATATTTTTATTATCTAAAAAGTCTCATGATTTTTTAGTGTTGTAGGATGGCTAGTATGTATTTATACAGACAGATGTGCATTATTGACATGATTTCGTAATATAAATTGTCAAAGATAGTATGATTGTTTAAAATGAAAATAATTTAAAAACAGATTTTTTAATTACTGTATTTCAAGTTGCAAGGAGGCACATAAAAATTTTTAACTGACTGCAAGAATTTTTGAATTCATTTAGTTGTAAAAAATACCTGATAATATTGTGTGTGAAAATTTTTTCTTAGAATATTAAGTGTTTCTAAGGGTATGTGAAATTGTTTTCTAAGAATATTAAGTATTTCTAGGAGCATGTAATAGTTTTTTTGATAAAATTACTTTTGGTTATCTTTTATTCATTAAGATAAAAATATAATTTTTTTTAGAGACACGCCAACATCTGCTGGTCCAAATTCTTTTGGCAAAACCCGGCAAGGATTCTGCGACTCAAAAAAAGTGTTTGAACGACAGTTGAAAGAAAAGATGGAAGAAGTAGCTGATAAATGAGGAAGTGTTTTAAATAACAGCCATATGTATATTTCATATACTCATTTTTAATCACACCATTCAGCATTGTTTTATGTAGATATGTATTTACATATTAACAGTGGTTTTGCTTCTCATGCAGTGATGTTATGCATTATCATGTTATGTAAATGTGGCTTTTATCATTATGAATGTGGTCAGCTATGCAAATTTGAAGGCCATAATGTTTTGGTGATATAATATGCAAATAAAATGTGAAATGTTTTGTGAATTTGTTGTAAATTTTAATAAACAACAGAAATACATTTTGGCTTTCTATCATAAAAATTCTGAAATATATTTTAATTATTGAGTTTTCAGGAATATGGGAAAATAATCTTATATTTGCATTATGTTTGCTTTATTTGGTACTCTTCCGTTTCACTAGCACAAATCTCTCCAAGCAGACTTTATTGGCGACAACACATAGTATACACATAAAAAATTTTAACAAATGTTAGTTCAAAGAAATTTTTATTTTTAAGGCATAAACATTTTTATATCGTTTAAAATTTTGTTTAAAGACATTAATTTAAGAATTTACTATGCTTTCTTGGTACAACATCTTGATTCGTCATTTCGTATCACGTGATCTCATCTCACATAAACTATGCTAGAAAAATCTAATTCTCTCAGGAATTATTTACATTAATTTCAAGGTAAATCTTAATTTGGAATATAAGTTTAAGTGCAAGAATTATTTCAATTCGTATGTATAGCTTACTAAAAAATTATGTAAAACCACAGTGCTTTACTTTGTTAGTGCATTCTCATTAGAATGGATGAATTTAACCTTTTTTTTCCCCCCAATGGCAGATTGTGAACAATTACAAAGTAACCCAGTCCATTAATCTATACAAGGCTGGATGTGGTGGTCTCTTTATTATGGAGGCACATAATAGGTGGCCACCATTGCCTATTCTATGAAGGGACAGACAGTTACAACCATGCTTTCTCCGGGATTCGAACCCAGGCCCTTCGGCATCGCAGTCAGCTTCCCTGACCACTATACCGACTGGGTGGCTAAATTTAACACTCGACTTTGCCTTTTTTATATTTTCGGGTGAGTGGTGTGATTGCATCCTAATTGACTTAATTAACCACCCGTGAATGGCCTTAGAGCATAAAATTGAACTATCTGGTAAAAATTCTATGTAATTGTATGGCAGTATTGAAAGAAACAATCAATCTGATAAGAAATGGCTGCAACTTGTTTTGAAAATGAGGCATAAAAGGTTACCAGTGAAAATATTCCGTTTGGCATCGGTTGTAACATTTTTGGTGACTTTATCGCTTGCGCCGGGAAAAAAGGAAAAGTACCCTTTATTCTAACTATGCTTTAGTTTTTTTTTTTTTTTTTTTTTCCATTTAAAACGTGAAATTTAGTATACTTTTAGAAATGAATATAAGAAGAAAAAGGAAAGTGAAATTCATTTCAATTTAATTTCAGTAACATTTCCTTTTTTGACTTCACCATTAACAAAGTAGCTAAAACTGTGGATTGGAGGTAGTTCTGTTTGGCTCTTATTTTGTGTGTTTCAGAGACAGGCTGCATGGTTTTCCTTGCATAACTTAAATGCAGGCCTTACCTTTGGAAAATTCTTCTCAAGGGATCATTCTGATAAAAACCTTGTAAGCAATATTGTAATCAAATAATCTTTTTTGGAATGTTTATACTGAAAGTCAAACCAAAATGTCGAACACTTTTGTCAGTCAGTATTACAATCAAGTTAACTGATTAAAATATGTTTTAGTAGTTGATTTATTAGTTTTTCAATCCAGTGAAAACATTGATTTCTTAAAATCAAGAACCCTCTTATGGCAACCACCTTCCACTTCTGAAAGTCACCAGTACTTCTGAGAACATAAGCAAATACTTGTATAGATTATCATAATATTATTCTTTTAGACAATTACTCCCTAGACAAAATCAAATAGATGGGTTTCTGTGGATAAGTGTAGCACATATTTTTACTGTTACTGAACAAAATTTGTAAGGTTTCTGGGGTATTTTTTTACCTTTCATTGCTTGAGAATATTATTAGCTTATTCTGTTTTAGAAAATTGAGAATACAATACTTTTGCTATATTCACTATTTATCTTTGTAATTACTTTATAATTTTGTTAATGTAATGGTTTTAATAAACCAATATACCACACTTCTCTCTTTAGCATATTCCAAGCAACAATCAGAAGGTAAACAAAAAGGATGTTGGCCCAAATACATTCAACATGCAAATCAATAATTTCATCACCAAAATCTCTAAGAACACCACCTTCACAGAAAGCCCATTTCATCTGGAATTGTGGTATCATATCAAGAAAGTTCCTCTTATTTTTTTCAGCAAGATTTTATATCTACAAAAATTATAACGGAGGGGGAAAAGAATTGCATTCTTTTGATTTCAGATTATAGTATTAATTAAATTAAGCAAATAATTAAAATTAAATTATAAAAATATGCAGTCTTGTTTGAATATTGAATTTCAGTTGACACATGACATAATTTTAAACTATGCAAATGATAAGTTTCCAGAAATTAACTATAACAAACATGAAGTCATATTTATAAAATAAGCTGTTTGAAACAACTATAGTTGAGGAAGGGTGGGAACTTGTGGTATTATTCCAACATAATGACACACTAATATTTTTTACCCTTTTCGTATTGATAATAAATGTTAAAAAAGAAGGGCATTTTTTCCCACTGTAACTTGGGGCATGAGGCTCATAACATAGTTTTTGTAAGTTAAGTGCTAACAATTTCTAATTTATCACCTTTTAAAATTTGCATAGTGAAAATAGTAACACCTTTCTTCAAGATGTCAAAATCAGATGTATTTTCATTGTCTATATGTATACACATGCAGTTAAAGTCCAAGAATTTTTCAACTAGCAGCAACAAAATGTATACAGTCAATCTTCATAGTATCATGTTATGACATAGATAAACATTGCTTATCAAAATTATGAAAGTCTGCAATCCTTTTTCAACTTCCTTCTACATAACCTTCTTTCTTGACATGTCATCTTTATCTCATTTCCTTCTCATCTTTCTTCTTTTCCAGTCCATGCTTTGTAATTTTGTCTTCATCTTGAAAGAATGTGATAGGAATGGATTGTCTACATTCAGTGCAACTTTTATCTCCTCTTCACCAACACTAACCTTTTTCTGAACCATGTAACTAAATCCAAGTTGGAGATGTGGCTGCCAGACCAAGACAAAATGTTTTAAAACCAAGAGAATCATTGTCATTTGCCTCATCATCTAAGAATATGATTTTAGACCACAATTTATGCCAACAGTGATGCAAAGTAATATTTCTTGTATCTTTTCAGGCAGGAGACAAAGCAAATATGGTGCCTTTCGACATGAATTGTTTCTGAAAGTGATGGACACTATCTTCGAGGTTCATACATTGCACATAAAATGGGGATTGGTAGTATTTTTATATTCTAGGTAATTCCTTTTTCAGCTAGTTAGATAATGTTTGTCATGTTGAGACAGAAACTTCATACAATGTTTTCCACATTATAAGTCTTCGCTTTTGGGTCAAGTTGTAGTTGTCCAACAAAAGAATCATTTTTCTTTCTGGTCATAAAACTTTTTCTTTAAATAGCTTCCAGTCCATCCATACATTTTATGATTGATAATGGAAAGGCAAATATTTTACATTTCGAAGTACCATGGATTATGATATTTGCCAAGAGCTAATAATCCCCTTTGTATGTGCTTGCTATATGCACGTGCTATGGCAATTATATGATCCTTGTTTTGGTTAAGGCCTTTTAGAGAAGCTTTTATCGCACAGGCTAAAACTGAGGAGGAAAGACATCTTAATAATAATCCAGTCTCATTGTCTTTCTATATTTGTTCCATAATCTCATTATTTTTATCTGCAATTCTTTGACATTTCATTATAAACTTGTTCATGAACATTTCATATGCTCCATTATAAAACTTGTTCAAGAACATTTCATATGCTCCTTGTACACCATGAGGTAGTTAACCTGTGAATTCCAATTGATTTTTTGAACCATTTAAGTTATCCAAAGGAAAAAAAGCTTCATACATGCCTTGCATATTCATCTTGCTGTTCAATTCCTTTGCTCTTTTAATGTATTGATCCAGAAATACAAGCTCCCTATAATCTTCTTAGAGTAAATCACTAGTACAACACATGATCTAATACTTCACATCGGGTTTGGTGAAGTGTTCCGACTTTTTGCAACTTTTGTAGATTTTATTTGCATTAAGAGTATCTGAACCTGGTCTCCTTGTGTGTTTCATAAAAACTTGGAATTTCCAACTTTTATTTTTCTATTAATTTTATTCTGTTTAATCCATTCTGTTTTCTTCAGCAATTTCGGTTTTTGAGAAGGAGAGAACATTTCTGTTACATTTTATGGAGACAGTCATAGTGACATCATTGATGGGGTACATACATGAATGTAGTTTGCTAATGCAAGTTTTGGGTTCAGTTTGTGCAAATTAAAAAAACAAGCTACTTGATCTTAGCCAGTGATCAGCTGGGAGTATTGTGGAGTCTCATATGTATACCACAGTGTTGCCAGATTGTTACACCAGCACATATTATTTTGTTTCCATGGCCCGAATTTTGGATTTAAATTTAGACCTTAAAAAATGTGGTTATTTTGATATTACTGATTAATTGGCTGCAGTTAGGAGTGAATGTGTATGTAGTAAAATCTCTCATAACTGTCAGCCAGTACACATGTCTCAATTACAAGTATACTTCAGAGAGTGAGTTTTCACTTAATAAATAAACACATGCTTTGGAAATACATTCTTATGTGGTCCAAGCTGTGCTGAAAAGGGAGATCAAAGCTTGTTTCCTCATATTGCTTGAATTTAAAATTTCTAAAGCTTTTTTTAAGCATTTATGAAACAACTATTTTTCTCCAAGAAAGGATCCTATTGTGATAATGGATAGATATTGGTATATGAATTATTTCTACTTTTATGGTTTCCCTATCAGACATTTAAGGTTATTTGATTAAGTTTAGCTATTTAATTGCCAAGTATACCAATTTGTTCTCATTCCCCCCTTCTCTTCATTATCATGTCTTTCTTACAAGGCTAAAAAATATTCCATAAAAAGCTGAAGTAGTTTGAGATAAATACTATTTTTATTTCTCATAAATTTTGTTTGATATAGCCCCATTTAAAACAATTTTTGAATGTTATTAAATGTAATTGTAGTTATTAC